TCTCTTTGGCTGAAGGCAGAGCGCCAGGTCCTGGAAGGGAAGGAAGCATATAGGATTCTGGACAGCTATTTTGAAATCAAAAGCTTGACTGGGCAAAAGCAGAATGCTGGAACAATAGAATCCTGTAATACATAAAGCCAGACGTGTCTAAAGGCAAGAGAACTGTTCAGACACCTCCGCTGTAATCCAGAGTCGATTTGAGCATTGAGAACAGACTTAAGAAGACCAAGGAGTGGCTGTTCGAGGCTTAAAACCACAACCTTGATTTTTATGAAATAACCTGTACATACAGTACAAGCATAAAAACCACCCATATAAAAATTAACAGTGATAAACACAAATGAACAATATTTAGGTGGTAACTGTAGATTTGCTGTAGTAGGTTTTATTTAAGCATGAAACAAGTAGTTAAAAACATGAAAACATAGTTATAGTACTATGCTTATTGTACTATTTACATGGTAAAAGTGGCAATACTCCATGTAATTGCAAAAGTAGCATGGAAATGCCATATTTAAAAAATGGTGTTTTTCTGACAAAATACTATAGTTAATAAAATTATATTTAGAACAGTTTTTCACCAAAAGATATATAATATGAAAGAGACAGTAAAAAGTATAATTATATTTTTTTTTGGTGGGAAACTGGTTACTATGGTCAAATTTTGTAAGGCCTCAAGTTTTTTAATTAACAATAAAATTCTTACGATTACCAACAATAAATTATTTTTGTATTTCTGTTCATCTATGCCACTAAATAAAACGTAAAAAATGCAATGTGACTTTTTATCTCACAATTCTGTCTTTCTTGCAATTACGAGTTTACATCTCGCATTTCTGACTTTTTTGTGTGATATAAAATTGCAATTGTGTTATAAAGTCAGAATTGCGAGATATAAATGTGCAGTTCTGAGAAATAAAGAATTTTTCAGAATTGTAAGATATTGACTTGCAATTGCGAGTTATAAAGTCCAATTTTGAGGAAAAATGTTTCTCAGAATTGCACATTTATATCTCGCAATTCTGAAGAAAAAAATGTTTCCCCCTCAGAATTAGGATGTATAACTGCAAGTATTTGTCTCACAATTCTGAGAAAAGTCATTACAATTGTGAAATATAAACTTGGAATTGCAAGAAAAAATGTGAAATATGTATATCACACAATCCTGAGGAAAAAACAAATCAGAATTTGACATTTTGGTTATGATAAATTGGTATTTGGTTCTTTGCCTGTACACTGAAAAATATAGTGCATAAAAGTTTTACTCAAATTGCTAGTAAATTTCACAAACAGTTAAAGAAACGGCCAGTAACACACTGAATTAAACATGTACATTTGAAGTAGAAAGACTGAAATAGTATTTTCTTGTAAAACATACTCCAATTATATTTGTTTTAATTAAAAATTAGATTTTTTTTTTTTTAACAGTGTAGACCAGGGGTGTCCAAACTCGGTCCTGGAGGGCCGGTGTCCTGAAGAGTTTAGCTCCAACCCCAATTAAACACACCTGAACCAGCTAATCAAGCTCTTACTAGGCATACTAGAAACTTAAAGGCAGGTGTGTTGAGGCAAGTTGGAGCTAAACTCTGCAGGACACCGGCCCTCCAGGACCGAGTTTGGACAGCCCTGGTGTAGACATTTCAGTATTTTATTCTTGCGTTTATTCATGCGCATAGATTAACATTTATTCATATTCATAGATTGAATTTTTTCAAGTTTCTTGTCGTTTTTATTCATTCTTTTTTAAAAAGAGCATCTTTAAATCTGGACACTCTCCCAGACTGATTGAGGAAAACGCTGCTTCTATCCATGGACACTCATGCTGCTGTCATGACAACAGAATCGTTACCATGGTGCTGCAGAATGACAGTCTTAAGCATTATCAGTGCAGATAGTATGCCACGTTTTGATTGGCCGGGAGTGGTGATGCATTTTCAAGGTGCAGGTCACAGTGGTAACAGTGCTGTATCAATGTTTCCGTGTGTGTCAAACAGATCTGGACGGCAAATCATTGCAGCCTCATTGCAAATACACACAGACTTTACGCACGTTAAGCATAGAGAACAAACTAAACGGATTAAATTAGTCTCACATATCCTGTGGTTCTCCCTCGGTCTTATCCATATCTCTTCTCTTTCGCATTTTGTTTGACTTTGATTATTATGTAACACATGAGGGAAATGCTTCTTGTGAAGTTGAAGACTTTTATAACGGGTATGCCTTGTAAAAACATACACTACCATTCACAAATCGAGGTCAGTAAGATTTTTTTTTTTTTGAAGAAATGTATTTTATTCTGCAAGGATCCATTAAATTGTTCAAAATGTTATATAATGTTACAAAAGATTTCTATTCCAATAAATTGTTCTTTTGAACTATTCATCTCATAGAATCCAGAAAAAAAATCTATCACAGTTTCTACAAAAATATTAAGCAACACAACTGTTTTTAACATTGATAATAATAATAAATATTTTCTGAGCAGCAAATCAGCATATTAGACTGATTTCTGAATGATGATGTGACGCTGAAGACTGAAGTAATGTAGTCTTCAGTGTTTATCCTTGACTTTAAAGTATAAGTTGTCTAATATTTACAGTTTATTTCAGCTCTATTTTAAATTAACAAAAACAATTTTTTACTATTTTTCATTAATTAGTTTTAGTTAGCAGTAACAACACAGCTGCACACACACTGTGAATGGGTTTCAGTTGAGTTGGTTAACGCTGGAGGCTTCTCTTTCAAAAGCCTTTTCTGTATTTTTTTTTCTCTTCTGACCTCCCTCTGTTTGCTGCTTGTCCTCTTTGTTTGTGCAGTCTATTTACTTTCTTTATTTAATAGGTAGAGTCTTGTTCTCTTTCAGTAGAGCAGCGAATGTAAGAAACCAACAAGCCTAAAACAAAACTCTCCTTGTCTTCGGGTTGCTCAATCTTTCCTCCCACAAGTTTTGCATCCTTGGAAAAACAACTGTGCAAATAAAAAAAAAAAAAATCACATGTTTGGGACCTTGTGCATCGGATTTACCACTAAAATATATGTCTGGTTGTGCAGACCCTTATTAGTTCTACACTGTAAAAAATGATTGTGATTTTAACAGTAAAAGACTGTAAAAATGCTACAGTAAAAACCTGTTAACTGGTTAACAGTAAGTTTCCATACTATATTCGGTGAATAAATGTTATTACATTTAATGTAATTTTACAGTAAAATACTGTTAAAAAATAGTTTTTGGAAGTGAAAAAGGAAAAGTCATTGTATAATTTACAGTGACAAACCGTAAATTGACACTCCCAGAATTCCCTGCATGACACT